GCATGCGCTCGCCAGACAGACAGAGAGAGACATAGAGACAGAAAGCGAGAAATCACCCCCCAGGGGGGATGGTCACGCCGCAATCCCTTCTCCTCCATTCTCCTCTCGGGATCTTGGGCACGCACGCACACGCGCCCGGCGTGAGTTTTAAGCCACCGGGTCCGGGACACGAACCGCGGTCGACTACGTGGGAGTCCAGCGACATATCCATTACGCTAACTGCTGGTTCCCTGTCCCATAAGATTTTAAGGAGCTAAAGCTTTCCTATTGCCTATTGACTTTGGAGCTGTCATAATGTCATCATATAAGACATTTCTCACATGTTTATACTGATGCAACCATAAACAAATCTTCTGCAGTGTCAGTCATAACAATGTGTATCATGTACAACTATGAACAGTAATCATACTGGATAATGATAATAAACAACACTGTTACTGGCTTATATATTTACTCTATTATTCTTTCATCATTATTTTAGTGTTCTCCTTTTACATAAAGAAAAAATGCTTACTTTAACAGTATGCCATGTGACTAGCGGCAGTCTCAGATATATCATGTTCACCGCATCTCTTTTCTTGAAGCAATGAATTTATTATTTTTAATTACATATTTTTAGATTTAATTGCTGTACATCTTGACAGCATATGACATTGACTTTCTGTAAATGGGTATATTCCATCATAGTCTAGTCAAAATACAATCATACATGGGACCAGCAGTTAGCGTAATGGATATGTCACTGAACTCCCATGTAGCCGATTGTGGTTCGAGCCCTGGACCCCATGGCTTAGACTCATGCTGGGCATGTGTGCGTGCTTGCCCATGATCTTGAGAGGAGAATGGAGTAGAAGGGATTGTGGCGTGGCCATACCTCCTGGGGGGATGATGTCTCGTTTTCTGTCTCTCTGTCTCTCTCTGTCTTTCTGGAGAGCGCATGTGCCCTATCACAAAAATCTCTCCAAAAAATAAATAAATAAGTCCCTACACATTATCATCAACAAATAATTTTCCATTTTTGTGTCCATTAAATGTTTTGCTTTTTTTTCCCCCTCTTGGCACGTCCCTTGTTTACATCATTTTCTCTTGTGATGATTTTGTTCAGTATAGCCATTCCAGTAGGACAAGAGGAGGAGACAGAAGATGGCAATATTGATGAGCCTGACCTTGTGTAGGCCTAGATTAATGTGGGCGTGTGTATCAATTTTTAACAAAAAGTTTAAAAAATTTATTGTACCTTCTAAATGTGTGTAATTACTAAATGTTGATTAAAGTATTAGTAAAGTAAAAAAGATTTTTAACTAGAAAACTCTTATAAAATAAGGATAGAAAAGTATTTTTGTACAGATGGGCAAGTATTACTTCAAGAAAGTCAAAGTTAAAAGTGTATGAAGTAACCATGTTATAGTAAGCTAAGATGAACTTATTAAAGAAAGAGTAACGTGTTAATACATTCAGTACAGCCTGAGTGTACTGTGTTGATGGAGCCTACAGTAAGTGTACAGTAATATCCTGGGTTTTCGCATTCACTCTCTACTCACCGACTTACCCGGAGTAACCTCCTGTCGTACTAGCTCTATTCATAGTAAGTATCTTATACAGGTGTCGCATTTCTCAATCTTTATCATGTATCACTGTACTTTTTCTCTGTTTCAATGTGTTCAGGCACACAAATACTTACCGTGTGTTAACAACTGTCACAGTATTCAACATAGTATCACGCCTAGCCTAAATGTGTACTTGGCAATACACATAAGCACCCTCTATGACATTCACACATTATCTAATAACACACTCCCCAGAATGCATCTCTGTCATGAAGCAAGTTATGACTGTATATAATTATATACTTAAAGATACTAAGCATTTTTATGAAAAGCTATTGCATTGAAGGCACAAATGACTTAAATTCTTGCACAGTGATAATATGAAAATCAAATAAATTAATGTTTATTAAAGAGTACTAGATATTGTCATGTAATAGTATGTTTTTCTTTTTTTTTTTTTTTTTGAGAGGTTTTTGCTATAGGGCGCGTGCGCTCGCCAGACAGACAGAGAAAGACATAGAGACAGAAAGCGAGAAATCACCCCCAGGGGGGATGGTCACACTGCAATCCCTTCTCCTCCATTCTCCTCTTGGGATCTTGGGCACACACGCACATGCGCCCAGCATGAGTTTTAAGCCCCCGGGTCCAGGACGCGAACCGCAGTTGACTACGTGGGAGTCCAGCAACATAGCCATTACGCTAACTGCTGGTTCCCAATGTAACAGTATGTTGATCATTATTGTGATAGCCAGTTAAGCAACTGTAAAACAATTTCTCAGAGATAACTTACCAGTCTTAAGCAAAGGGAAGTTTCTTAAAAAATAGGGATTATTGAAATTCATCAGCGCTTGTGCCACAGTACAAATAAAGGTACACTTTCACTGGCCAAGACTAGTTGAAAATGCCACAGTGAGAAAATCATCACAGTAAGCACCACCACCTTCATTTCTGTCTTATCACCAGTAGATATTCCATTCCCTTGCTCTACCACTGCTTCTCCATTCATCGGTACACTCCAGAAAGCCTCTAGTAACTCATTTACTTTTAAAAGAGATTTCAGTAAATGCGCTATAAATTTTCAATGAGTTATTTGAAATTGGAGGACCCGAAATAGAAATGTATTTACTTTCTCTGTTTTTTTTTTTTTAGATTGATTAATTCCATGCAAGATAAGTGTTACTCAAAAAAAAAAAATCAAGAAGAGAAAGAAAGATTATTTTTACATAATAATGGACTGGTAATTAAGAAATTGAAATAAGCATTAACTTGGAAGACTCCTTTTCAATATGTAGATTATTCCAAATCAATTAAGGAAATCCTTCGGCGTTGAATGTAGCATTAGTAAATAAAAAATGTTTTTTAATTCACTAAGTTTTGTCATTTATTTACACGATGGAATCTATGTCAATAAATATAGTTCCTCTACTATAAACTCTCTTTCCTCCACCCCTTGCAAAGCACTTGCATTCACCAGAAAAGAGGGAGAGGGGAGTAAGCACCCCCTATGAGGAACAGTTATTACACAATCACGTTTTCTCCATCTCTCTGTCCTATTGGGATCTTGGGCACACACACATATATGCCCAGCATGTTTTTTATGATACCAATCTGGGACTGGAACCCTGGGGTCAGCCATTTGGGATGCAGCAACCTTAACTACAAAGCCATGGCCTTGCCCTGCTAAAAACTTTCATAAAATCAGATGCCTATATTTAGGAAAACAAAATGGATTTAAACAAATCATTGCTAGCTAATTAATTGAACAGATAAAAATCACTACAATTTTTCATTTTGTTGCCATAAAATAAAATTTTAAAACTACTTAACTCTATCACTTTTTGTTTTCTATATGTACAGGTGTTCACCAGAGGGAGAGAGAAAGAAAGTGAGAAATCACCCTCATGTAGCAAAGGAACAAAAATAACAATTTGTAATCTATTTTTTAAATTATCAGACTTATCTTTTTATGCTACTGTTATGATTATAACAAGTTAACCTGAATGTAGCCTAGATATATCTTTTTTGTTCATGTTTTTAAAATAGTCCTTAAAGGTAGCTTTGAGCACACTAGCAACAATCTACTGACTGCTGGCTTTAAATTTTATCTAATTAGTAACATCATGATTCAGAAATAAATTCTTGAGTCTTTATGTTCTCTTAATGTCATACATTTATGTTGAGGGCATACAGACATTGTTCTATGTCACAAAACAAAACTAAGTTTAAGAATCTCTTACTCTCCAACAAAATTCAATTGCTAAGCATCCAGTCAACGATAGACATTAAAGACTACGTCGCACTTTTACTCTCTATAAAATTGTATAGGCAAGCATTTTCTTTTATTGCTATCATTTTATTATTATTATTTATACATTAAATCACTATTCATCATTTAGATTGTCAAGATAATTTACCCAGCATGAGATACACCTCACACCAATCAAGTTGAGAATACTGTACACATCATCATCATCAACAGGTAATTAACCATCTCTGTGTCCCACAAATGTAATTTTCTGTGTGGTGACACTGTGAGACAAGTATATCCCCCAAAGCAATAAGAGATTCCTCAACCACCTATGTGAGAGGGAAAAAAAGAAAGGAACAGATAAAATCTCAAATTTAAACCAAGTAAACTACAGAATGCCAAATGATAGGATCATGTGCATAGACCAGAGATGTCTCAACACTCTCTGAGAAGTTGTCTTAATTTTTCACATCCTATCAACATAAATAATCTTGCAATGAATGGAATTGTCTGATTTACCTAGAAATGAGAAAGCCCGGAGATAAATCTGTAGCTTGCAATTTGTTTGAGGATCATGTGCAGTATAAGATGTCCCTTGATGTCAGTTTTTCCCCCTATATGTGATTTTTCTTTCCTTTAGATTTCTCAGTATGCAAATGTGTAGTTTGCCATGAAAATGATATTCCTTGAATGATGCGGAGAACATGTCATTCAATAAACAATGGATCAGGAAAGTACTCTTTCCAGTACCCTCCATGTATTTGTATTGGCTTCAAAGTCATGAAAAAAGACATTCAAGTTTTAAGAATGACAAAACCATGGATTTTATTCCATTTTTACAACTAGTTCACTAAGCAAATTAAATAAAAATACTTGACTATTCGGAACCTGTTTACCCATTTGCAAGCATCATCACTTAAATCATAGCCCGGACAAGGCCTCTGGGCCGTGAATATAAATTATGGTATTGCCTGCAAAACACAACCTTGAAAAAAAAATCGTATAATTGCACAAAGATATGGGTTACCAAGAGGAAAAAAAATGGCTCAATTTCTATCTTCCTGGCAATATGGCTCAAAGAAATGAGACCATCAGTGATGATTAATGCTCGTTTCAACTTGTGTATGATTGCACGATTTCCAGTTAGCCTTCCTTAAGTGTTTTTAAGCACACAACAGTGATCAGATTGAATGCAATCAACTTACTTCTGGAGCCTGAAGAGTTCCTCACTGTCGTGAAGGAGTCAGTACTCTGCCTGGCTGCTGCAGAAAACGGACAGGGTGAAAGCATCTCCAAAGCTGATTCTGAGGATGGTGGCAGAAGGAAGGGTGACCGGTTACTACATGTCTTCTCAACACCTGGCTGAATGGTTACGGGGACTCTTCAAAGGAGGAAAGCACACAAAAAAAAGCACATCAAAAAAGGTTTATGAATTATCCTTTGAAAAATCTAGTTGTTAAATGTGTGATCAATCTTAAACTATATTAAGACTATCACTAAATATAATTTAAATAGATTTGCATAATAAGACTTTCCAGTAGAATGTGGAATTTGCTGATTCTAAATAAATATGGCGGGGGGCTGTTTTTCATGTCTGGAAATGTTTTATCTCAAAACTGAAGCTTGTTTAAATAATGACAACCTACATAGCTAAATTATCTTTATCTTTCAATGAATTCAATTTGCAGGATAATGTTAACATACTGCAGTGGTACAATGTGACGTTCTGTGAGGCTGACCCATATAAGAAGGTACCAGGTTTCTTTTCTTTTTTTAAAAAAAAAAAAAGAACTTCATTCATTTATTTAAATTTGACCAGAGAGAGAGAGGGAAATAGAAAGCAAGCCACCAGGTCTGGGACTAGAACTGCAGTCAGCCATGTGGGAGTCCAGCACCCTTAACCACCACACCACCTACTGGCCCCACAGGATCCAGATTTGTGTTAGAGTCCCAGCCGAGAATACCTGGCATGTGTGTTCCCATGATCTGGAGATAGCTGAGGCTAGGGGTGGATTGTGGCATCGAAAACCTCTTGGGGGAGTGGTCTTGCTTTCTGTCTCTCTTTCTCATGAAATAAATACACTTTAAAAAAAGATGTTGCATATGTCATATGTTAGCACATAATAATCAACACCCACTATGTACAGAACACATGACACTAGGAATACAACAGTGAATGAACTAGAATAAGCTCTGTCCCCATAGAGCTAACATTCTTATGTTGTGCTGCATGTTCTCCTCAGTGGAGAAAATCTAAATATTGCAACACGTGTACTATGAAGGAAATATACAGACAGGCTCTTCTTATTTTAACTTCATGTGAGAAGATTGCTAATTTCTACCACTTTCTGACAGTTCCATGTCAATCTAAGTAATAATCAATCAGGCTCTGCGAGACATAATGTTTAATTTTCCTTTCCCTAAGATCTATAAGATAGTACCAGTTGATATTCAACTACTGAAATTTTCAATGTGGAGATAGACCAGTTTAAAAAAACACATTTTTTTTTTGGGGGGGAGAGGTTTTTTTGCTATAGGGCATGTGCGCTCGCCAAACAGACAGAGAGAGACAGAGAGACAGAAAGCGAGAAATCACCCCCCCAGGGGAGATGGCCACACCGCAACCCCTTCTCCTCCATTCTCCTCTTGGGATCTTGGGCACGCAAACACACGTGCCCAGCGTGTTTTAAGCCACCAGGTCTGGGATGTGAACCGCGGTCGACTACATGGGAGTCCAGCGACATAGCCATTACGCTAACTGCTGGTCCAAAAAAAAACACATGTTTTTAAAATAAATAAATAAAAGCATTGTACTTTTACTTTGACTATGATATTTTATCTGGAATCAAAAGTGAGGAACAATTCAATTTCAAAATGAATGAATAAAATCAGATATAGCTGATACAATACCAACTTGGGTTTTTTTTATTGTTTCTGTTGTTTCCATTTGTAAACATATAAATGATCTGACAAAGTTTAAATTAAAGAGGATAGTAATACTGTCTTAAGATGTTCCATAATTGAAAAACAAATTTCCTGAAAAAGAAAATTTAGCTAATTTTAGGCTACAATTTTTATAAATACAAAAAAGAAATACACAGCTTAATGGTACATTTGAATATAGAACATTATAACTTATGAGGGCCAGCAGGTGGTGAGATGATTTAGGTGCTGGACACTCCCATATGGCCAGCCATGGTCTGAGTCCAAGACCTGGTGGCTTGCTTTCTCACTTTTCCTCTTTCTCTCTGTTCTCTCTGATCAAATTAAAATAAATGAATGAATAAATAAAATTAAATAAAAAATTTAAAAGGAAAATTATAACATATACTTCAATTTATTCTACACATCTGTCAATCACTGCAATCATTTTTTTTAATATATATGTATTTAAGAAAAGATGTTGGAACCAGGAGTAGAAGTTATGCCGTTGGGCTCTTACATGGCCAATTGTAGTCTGAGTTCCGGACTGGGTGGTTTGAAAATCACTACAGGTGTGCGTGTGTGTGCATGTCTGTATGCATGTGTGTGCATGTGTGTGCACACACGTGCATACCTAAGATCCCAGGAGGAGGAGGGATAAGGGATTACAACGTAGCTATTCCCCTATCACTCCATCCCCCACACACTCCCCTTACCCCCAACCCTGGCCCCAGGATGATTTTTCGCTTTCCCTCTCACTGTGTCTCTCTCTAGTGAGCACACGCACTCTAAGGCAAAAACCACTGAAGAAAGATGTTTATTATAGAATTACAGACTAGGACATACCATGTACATGTACTCACATGCATAAAGATTCCTCATAGATGAAGTACCCTGCTACAGGTATCATTTGCCTTATCTTTTTTGTTTTTGTTTTTGTTTTTGTTTTGCCATGGGCACAGGCACTGGCCAGTGAAAGAGAGAGAGGCAGGGAGAGGGAAAGTGAGAAATCACCCTCCAGGAAGGATGACCATGTCGCAATCCCTTCCCCTCCATTCCTCTCCAGTTACATTTTAAACTAATTTTTACATTCAATATACACTCACCAAAAAAAGAAATACAAAATCAAATCTCCCTCAAAAGCAAGATATTCTTTTTGAAGAGAACTGATTTCATGTTTCAGAGCTACTTTCAAAATATTTTGTGCTTATATAAATGTGTTTATGTAGATTTTGACAAATATAAGATATTATAACCAGTTTTCCTGTGTTCCTTTATTTGCTATAGCTTGAGGATCATTAATTTCTGTCTCTTATCATCTACTCATTCTTTGTATTAGTATACACTCACCATACGGATAGTCTAATCATATCATGTCTTAGTCGAAAGATGTGCAAGTTTCCAAAGTTTTGTTAGTATAAAAAAGACACAATCGATGCGCAAATACATGAATTTTGCATTCATGTAAGTTAGCACATGTGTAATAAATTCCCAGAAGTGAAACATTTAGATTAAGAAGACTCATTATTCCTGAAGCTCTGACCACATTTTCTTCTCCATAGAAAAGAGGCAATATACAGAAAAATACATTTGAATTTTGTACTTATATATTATTGAATTATATTAGCAAAATATAAATTCCTCAATATATTCTCTTACCCTATAGGCTACCAAAAATCTGGATGTTTAACTATTTCTATTTCTTCATGTTAGCATAAAAGCCCAGTAAATGCTGCAACTTTTAAATTCCAGTTCCCCAGAGAAAGTTCCTTTTATATATGATCATGTAACTTATTAATAAAAACAACAGTTAAATTTTTCTGACATTAGCTTATTTTTGAATTTTTAAAATATTTGTTATTTACATTTAATCACCAGACATCTTTTATTAAGCATTTACTATGCCAGCAAGCAGAAAACACATGCTTCCACAACCAGTTCTCCCAAGAATCAAATGAGATAAATACATATTTCTACTCTATTCCTGTAAAAGCTAGGATAGAGAAAGATCTGCTAAGCTTAGGCCAGGTTGCACAGCTAGTAACTGGCAAAACCAGGGTTCTCTCGTTCCATTAGATCTTATAACTCATAATGTAAGGGACAATTTCTGAAAACCATTACAGGACTCTATAGTAAAGTAAGGTTCTATTTTTTTAGGTGATATTTGGTCATGCATTGCTGAAGGCAAGAGATTTTAAATTTGAGATTATGGTACTATGGCTTTCTAGTGCTATCACATGAAGATTTCTTTTCTTCTTGATAGTATGTTCAAATTAGCCATCTTGTAAGAAATTCTGATCAATCAGTTACATGTTGTTACCATTGATAGCCATCTTCCACAGTCTTAGGAAATTTGCCAACTGCTATTGTTCATGTGCATGTATCCTCAAGAACTATTGCTTTACATTTAACAATAGGGCAAAACTCTGGAATTAATGAGGGAGTATCTATTCTAAAGTGACCTATTACCTGCTCTAAGCACCCAATGGTACTTCCTTACATTCTCCAACGTCTTTACTAAGGGGTCATCAGTCATCTATACATACCCACTGAAGAGAGTCTCATTATCCACAAAAGCAGACCTTTAAAGTCTTATAAAAACCAGTCTTGGAATCATAGTATACGATAACTTTGCTTCCCTCAGGAAGTTTTTCCCAAGACTGGCTCAAATTTTCACCCATTGAAAACTAAGGAAAGTCTTGAAATATTTGAAGACAAGAGTAACATAATCTTATATATCCAGTTCATCTAAAAGATCCACAACATGTGAAGATTTATTAATTCATCAGTGGTATCATTACCCATCCTTCTCCCTCTTAAGCCTAATAGTACAAAATAAACAACATGGAGGGGGTTATTCTAAATTAATTTTAATTATATTTATCTTATATGGAAAATGATTAAGAATTAACTATTTAGTTATCCATATGTTTGATCCATGTGATGCAAAAAGCTAGCATATATGAAATATATGAATAATCAAGTCATATGGTTTTACTGAAATTCAGTCATTTAATTAATAATCATAGAATCATACACAGTTTAAGATAATACAGCCAGCATGTTTAGTGGACTACTCCAAAACTGAGGTTGTAACATAAGAAATGCTATTTAATTTAGACAAATAACTTGAAAATAATTTGGACCCCAAAAAGGAATTGAAAATGTTTCATATTAATGAGTTTTAAAAGCAAAAATATAAAGAAAGATTCATATAAATATTCAGAGAGCTATTACAAAAACATGCTTGTTTCACCACTAATACTGCCAAACCTATTTTTAAAATTCAATTAGAGGCACTGATTGAATATGGAAATGCATTTGTGTTATTGAGTAAGAGTATAGTACCATATTCTTGGCTATAGGAAAATGTTTACAAATTATTACACACATCCAAGATCATATGACAAATAAATTAATGCACCACTAGAGCATTTATTGCTTAATGTAAATGTCACA